TGATTCTGTATGGGAGAGTCATCAGCTTATTTTCAGCAGAATGATTCTTCTGCTGTAGCTCTCCTAGTTAATTTATTTGTGTAAACTGGCCCTAGACATCCTGTTTAAGGAGCAAAATTCACCTGTTAGACATTGGAGGGGGAGGAGTTAGATTAGTTATCACCAGGGATCCTGAATCTCTCTGATTTAAAAAAAAAAAAAAAATCCCCAATTTTCAGATTAGAAAAAAGTAATGTGCAATCCACTTTTTTTCATGATTAAAATAAAACACCACTATATATAGATATCTGTATATTAGTGGTGTTTCATTTATCATGGAAACATGTGGATTGCGCATTCCTTTTTTTTAAACCTGAAAATTGGAATTTTTTTTTTTTAAATCGGAGAAAACCAGGATCCCTAGTTATCACTTATAGAGCCCTGGTAACACGGTCATTCTGCAAGTAGAACCCAATTTTAATTTAAAAGGACTCTAAAGCATGTATCGGGTCTGCTTCATGTAATTACCAATGAGAAGCAGTTAACAAGCTAGAGGTGATTCTTACAGCCACAGATGCATCACTTGCTTTCCTTCAGTTTATTTGTGCATTTTTCTGATATTTAGCACTTGCCAGCTTCAGAAGGATCATAAACAGTAAACAAAGTCCTTTTTTCTTCTTTTTTTCTTTGCATAATCCTGACTGTTTGTTCTTTTCCATGTTTTGGTTTATTCAAAGGTGGGTTGCATTTCAGGGTTCTCACTAACACTGCAGACTTGCAAAGCACCACATTTACTCAGCAGCAGAGCTGAAGGTTTCAACCTTTAGATCTCACCATTTTGGAGTTGTAGAATCCTTCAATTTACACAATTCTGAGTTTTTTAACTTATTTTAGAGAGAGGTGTCAGGTTTTAGCTGTACCCAAGATCTTACCTGTTGTTGAAGATAAATATGCTTTTATTTAATTTTTTTAAAGTCTGATTCTGGCAGTTCAAAAATGATGTTTCATGGAAGCTTGCTACAGTGTTACATGCAGTGCTGTGTGCTGCTCCCTAGGAAAAACACCTCTGGAAAAGCTGAGATCTCATACTGTGGAGCAGCATATGGGCAAAAAATTAGCACATCAGGCTGCGTCCAGACAAGCACGACCGTGCCATCTGTGGCGCCACATATCACGCATTCAATTGTTCTCTGTACTGCATGGGAGCAACGCAGAGGGTGTTTTTGACCCCTGGATATCCAGCATCCATCCAAGGGTTAAAAAACTCATGGAGAAAAAAAGAAGAGCAGTGCACACATGGGCAGTGTGCACCACTCAAAAGTGGAGCTGGGCTGCCTGGAGCCACACTGCAGCTGCCAACCAGACTCTGTGCAGCAGAATTACTGCTGCTGCTGCAGCCCCAGGAGGACCCCAGGTAAAGCTGCTGGGTCCAGCACAGTGCTGGCCCTAGACTCCCCTACCTCACTCAGGATAACCTGCTGCACACCAGAGCACACATGACACAGACATTCCCTGGGGACAGGTAGCAGCGGTGCAAGGTGTGCACCAATGCTAGCCGTCTCCAGGGAACCAAACATCCACACTGTGTGGGCATGGCTGCAGAATGCTGCTTCTCACAAGCATGTTAAGAGACAGGAGAAGGAATCTGAGAAGTGGAAATGATGACAGTGTAAGCCCTTTTTATGATGCGCTGCTGAAGATCAGCTCAGGTAGTGTTTAGGAGGGCTTGGGGAAACTCAGAACGTGTGTAGCAGTGAGAGAGAGAACCCATTCATTGAAATAAGCAGACAACTACACTTAACAGAAAACCTGGTTGGCTACAAATTGCAAAGAGGGAAAAGCAGAACAAAACTGGGGAAAGTAAGGTATTTCTCTGAAGAATAGTATGGGAGCTAAGCAAGAAACAAAGTTAATAAAGGACGAGTCATTTTTGACTTTTTAATCAGAGAAGGACCTAGGTCTGTTGCCAGAGAATTATCTGTGTAGGTCACAAGCCAAAAAGATGTGACAGATTGGAACTGTTTCCACCTAAAGAATTATGGAGAAATATTTGAGATGCATTATTATTTTGTATAGGACTAACAGGAAAAAAGTTGAAAGTTAGCTATTTATAATTGGGAAGAAGAGCAAAAGAATAAAAATGGTATGAGAGAGATATCTTTGTTTTTAAGCTGCTATCTTAATTGGCATAGATTTCTTCTGCTATGGAATAGTATCTACTGTACTATTAAATTAAATATGATTATTGCATGCCAGAAAAGGAAAAGAACCCAAACAACCAAAACCAAACAAAAAAATCCCCTTGAGTCCTTATTGCTTAGGTGACCTATCCCTGTGGTTTTGATTTTTTTTAATTATTATTATTTTTATTTTTTTGAACTTTACACATTTGTGTTCAAAACCAGGACTTAGTATGACAATAATAAAACCCTAAAAATCTTGATAGTGCCCCAGTACAAATGAAAAAGAGTTAAATATGGGCTTTTGGGCCTCTGAAAGTTGGAAAGAAATCTCTTATTCACTGTGTCCAAAAAACAGGCCAACAGTTTTCTTGCCAATTAAGAATCATCTAAAAGTAGAAGTGTGTCACATCTAGCAATGTGATATATTGATTCTGGAGTTAGTTTTAGGACTAAAGCAACTTTGGGGAAGTGGAACTGTCCAATTATAAAAATGTCAGCAATATTTATTCCTTGCCGCATAACCAGATGACGTGATAGATTGGCCAGATGCCTAAAATTATTTGTGAATTTTTGTTCCAAATTATAATAGAAGGGGAAATCTTGCCAGTAATTAAAGTTGAATGCTTTAAGGGGAAGCTGTGTTATATTTCACTCTCTGTGGAGTGAAAAAGAGAGATGACACAGAATTGTCTCAGCATCTCCAAACAGAAATATTGCAGAGCTGCCTTGTGTGTTTACCTTAAAACCTGCGGCTGACCAAACGGTTACACTCATGCCTCCAAAAGCAGTGAATTTTATTTTAAATGTGTTGTCTTGTGTCATAAACTGCGAAACATCATTCTCAAGCAAACAGATGAGGAAATGTCTCCCATATGCAGCAATGCAGATAATTTTTTTTTAATTGCACAATAAATACAGAAGTGTAGGAATAGGGTCATGTTAATAGGATATTAAAGAACAGGTCATGGAGTCAAAAGATCTATTCACGGCCCTGCAAAAGTCTTACTGTATGACTGTGTAAGAGACTTTGATCTACATCTTGTTAGGGCAAGAGGGAGCAGGGAATAGATAGATATTTTTACTAACGTAACTAAGCACCTAAATAAACGTTTACCTAAAAAAAATGTTGGCTGGTGGTTGGCAGCCTAGCATTATATTAATATTTTGTAATGTGATGGGAGGGTAGTTGGGACCTTACATTTAACAGACCATTCTTCCACTATTGGTTTAGTACTTTCCACAGGTGTTTTTACTAATGTGTCAGTGAGGCCTTTTTGTTTAAAGTGGCCTGGCACTGGGCAAATGCAAAAAAACCCAGAACTTTAGTGTATACTTCTCTGTGAGTACTGGCAGCAGAGTGCTAGAGGTATGCCTAAATACAAAATCATTGTAAGAAGAGCGTTAGGTTGAATGGAGCACACACAGTTCCTGATGCTTTCTTGCCACCTTCTGACAAAAAGTATGGATGATACCTAAAACAGTGAGAGTTCAAGCTTTCCAGCAAAGAAACAAATACCAGAATTGAAATTTCAGATTATACTGTTCAAAATTTCTATTTTCCATGAATGAAGAATAATTCATTTAGTGGGGCTGACAGACTGTCAGCTGGCTGCTCCACACATTACTTTCCAGTGTAAAAATAAACTACAGCTGTTCCAATATGTCAAGATACTTAACTTTGGTTTAGGGTTTGCAGATGTTCTGTGTTGCATGAGAGAGAAATTTCTACATTAGTCTTTGGGGTTTGGGGGAAGCAGAATACAATACCCATAATACAAAGTCTGAGTCCCATGTGAAACATGCATTGTAATCTATGGGTCTCCATTTCTCTTTGTTTAAATTCTAGAAAAGAAACAGTATAGTTTTTCTTTCCTTGTCTTGTTTGTAACTTTTTACTTATTTAAGGGCCTCTGTTGTGGGAGATACTGAGAACCATTACCTCTCTTTGTTTGCAGTAGTAATTGGATGCACTCAAGACCCTACAATTTTGGACAAGTCTTTAAGCACATTGTTATTATCTATCTTGTCAGGATGATGCTTTTAGTTATAGTTCACTGCACAGAGCCTGGTCTGAGGAGGGGGAATTGCCTATTTCATGCTTCCCGCCTACTATAATACAACTAAGAATTTCACCTCAGGATTATTTTGACTACCCTTAAATAACTGGTAGTGCTTCAGGGTCTTAAATTGGAAAATAATATGAATATTGTCTTTGTTATATTTTTAAAGTAATAGATGAACGTAGAGCATTTAAACTCAACTATGACAGCTGTGTTGCACTGGATGCAGTTGATGGCTAGCAGTTGCATGACAGTCTGTAGTTACTTCATTCTTTTCATGAAGTAACTGTTTACAGTTTCCGCTGCTCTGGCTCTGCTTCATCTAAAGTTATGTTGTATCATTTCATCATTGCAGCTGCAAAATAACTACTTACAGTATTAGTTCGCACTCCCTTATTCCTTTCAAGATATATTTGTAGGGAGAGATGGAACAAAGTTGATTTTAATTTTGCCTTGCTCAGAACGCTATCTACAGAAGTCTTAAACTTCAGTTCCAGTTTATTTTTCTTGTAACTTTTTGCCCTGCCATTCTATGGTGTTCATTGTTATATCACATAGCATGATATGTAACGTGAAATTTGCTTTCTAAATTGTACTAATAAGCCACAGTTTATCCTTCCCTACAATTTTGAGCAGTGGGTCTAGGATGCATTTGAATCAGTATTCATTAAGAGAAGAAAGAAGCAGCAGTGAATTGCGTGTTGGGAGGTTGTTATCCTAATGTGTTAGATGGTAGGTATCCCAATAATTTTAAGTCTCTTGTGGTTTATTTGTACAGGAAGACAGCAGCAGCTTGAAGCAGAGCGCCAGGACATGTATGTTGAAGCTGATCATGACCTGCATGTCAGAACAGGCCGCTCAGTGCAACCCCCTACGGAGAGACCTGGGGAGAGGAGGATGGCTGAAATGAAGAAACTGTATGGTGTGGGTGCCCCCAAAATCCAAGCTATGGAGACTGCCATGCAGCTTACCTTTGATAAGAACTGTGATAAAAAGCAGCCCAAGTACTGGCCTGTTATCCCTCTGAAACTATAAGCTGGATCATGTTCAGCCCTAGCAGACCAGCTCTTGGTGCTGCCCAGTTTAGGCTGCCACAGTTGAATTAACAAATTGAGTATCATTCCTTCCCTCCCTCTTATCTGTCAACTGGTGTTTTCGGAACCAATGCCACTTCCAGAGGATGAGCTAAGTGTTGATTTGCATTGTAGAGGAAAATGGTATTTTACTACTTGAGAATATATTTTCACTGATTTAGCATTGGCCTACCTTGACTGTGCTTGGCAGGAAATGAAATAGCATTTGTTTTCACTTAGTTGAGCTGGGAAAACTTAAGCTGTACAGAAGTAATTAAGTTTTGAATTCTTGCTGTTCCCCCTTGCAGAAAAAAACAAGTCATCCAGTTTTTTATTATTTTTTTAACACAATATCCTTTAGATTGATTTTTAAACAGGGTATATTTCACATGTGTCTTTTGATCCTTGATTTTTGGGAATGTAGAGTCAGTTGGCCGAAGTACAACGTACTAAGCAACAGTAGCATGACCACTTGAATGTTTATTCAAAGATTTCTAATAGGGCAGGAAATCTTTCTTCTAGTGTGATATTCAGCTGGCAGGGTTTCAGCCAGGAAGCAAATTTAGATTTAAATATAAAAAAATGGACATTTTTATTCTACAAATGCTTAGTAAGAAAGACATTTGTGAAAACATGGCACATTTTGTGCTTATGCTGACACTGAATTTGTCAGGGTAGCAGAAAGGTTCCAGTTATTTTTGACACTTTAAAGGAAAGGAAAATTAAACCAGCTGAAACTGGGCTTGCCTATGCGAGGATCTACTGTGACAGCCGTGTCGGCAAATCCTCTTCCTGAAGATGCAGATCATTCCAGGAAAAGGAGATGTTTGGCCCAACAAAGCCACCCCAGATCCCTGAATAACGACATAAGCTCGGCTGACAGAAGCACACTTTTTGGTGCAGATCCAGCTGTGACAGGTCTTGCTAGTTTAGTGGGGGTATGATCTTTTGCTATACTGGCAAAACGTTGTAGCATAGTCCTGGCCTAGGGTTACAGTTCTACCACCTTACTTAAATGTAGTGGTACTTTAAATAGCTGGGGAGTTATTGCAGTACTTCTCACAAGTGGGGCATGGTTGGAATGGTGAAAAGTGGTACCCTATGTATGCAATAGCTATTTTTCAGAAGGATTTCTGCTGTCATTTGCTACTGTGTACTTTGTATGTGCAAACGAGCCAGATAAAGAATGTGATGATTAAATGTCCTCTATGCAAGATTCTGTATCATAAATAATTCCAAAGGAAGAGTTTGCTGTCTAAAATCTCTTAAACATTCATGATCTATCATTAGACCAGAGAAAGTTAAGGCTGAAGTTCCAGTTTTATTTTGCTCCAGCTGTCTGTCACATGCCTGTTTGACTTAGATGTTGTAGCACATGGGAAGTAAATCTCTATGATTTGCTACATCTGGGTAGGTGAGAGCACATTTTTTATTTTCCTGGTGTTACAACTTTAAAAGTCCTATTTTATTTATTCTAACTGAACTCACTTCATTTTGGTATAATGTGATGTAGTTAGACCAAGCCAATTGAAATGAAAAGCTTCCCAACTCTGAGACTCATTACCAATGTAATTGTATTAGGAAGCTTGCTCTCAGGAGGGTAAAAGAGGGATTATGATATGTAGTCCCACATTTGGTTTGCTGGAATTTTGTTATATTACATATTATACTAGTGTGATATAGGATGAAGTGTCAGAAATTGTTGGGAGTTCTCTTGCGTGACAGAATAAACTCTTTTCATAATTGTTTTGTGGGGTGACTTTTGGGGGGGGGGGTGTTTTTTAAATACGCTATCTTGACTGTATAACATTTTCTTGGGATCAGGTGCTAAACTTGCCTTAAAATTTCTGATTACTTATGAAGGATCTACTGCAAGTCTTTGCAGCTTTACTCACGTAAGTCATGAAAAGATGAGTCATGAATAGATGAGCTCTCCCCAGGCAGTTACAGATCCACTCACTGCTGAACTAGTAAATTGCTAAGTGGATGACATGTGTCATGCCCCCTAGGGAAAGGGCATCTTCCTCTCCCTGACACCCCTCTTCCCATAATCCATAAACCAATCTTTTCCTTGCTATGTGAAGCCAGAAGGTAGGGCAGGGTGGCACCTTCTAGACTACCTAGTTCAAAAATGCACAAGTCTGTTAAAAAAGGCAGGGGCTCATTCTTAGCATCTGACAAAATGGGTTGTTGCCTATGAAAGCCTGAAAGCTCATGTCTTCCTGAACCAGTTAGGTTCCAAAGTGACATCCTGCCCAGCTTTCTGTGTGGCTTTAGACCAGGGATGTAAATACTAATTTAAAAAATATCGGTTAAACCTGTTGTAATTGCAACAGGTAAATGATTAATCAGTATGGCACCCCCCAGCCTGGCCCACATGGGGCTACTCCAGGCTAGCCTGCCCCTGCCCCACCTGGCACCAGCGAGGTGATTCTAGCCCCCACGTGTGCAGTGGGGACTCAGCAGCTCCCCAGGCTGCACCTCACAATCCAACAGGAGGTAGGGCAGGTCCTCTCCAAGCCCAGGCACAGATGGGGTATGTGGGGTGCACTGTGGGCCTGAGCCACAGGCCCAGGAGAGCCACCCTGTGCCCCCTTACCTCTACTTTGCCCCTGCCAGGCCCTGCAGCCACCCCAGGGCCAGCTGGGGAGTGCGTGCGGGCACTGCCAGCAGCAGCAGTTGCAGCAACAGAAGGCACTGCATCTGGCGGGGGGTGGGTGCCACAGCACTGGGCTCTGCAAAGTCAGGCAGGTGCTAAGCCCTGGACTAGTACCTGCCCCACCCCACCCTGCCCAACATGGAGCCTGTGCTGCCCCGAGCCTGGATGGGGCACCGTATGGATTTCCCTTCCCTGCTGGACTCTGCCCTGCCCTGCCCTGCCCTAAACAATAACTGGTAAGCTATAACTGGTTATCACTGTGCTTATCAGTTAAACAAGCATTTAACCACCCACATCCTACTTCAGACTAACATGCCTTACAACCTCCTTCCTATATCAAGAGTCCTAGTGCTCCCAGAGCAAGAGAGTGGATTCCTTCGTATAATTTTGGTTCTACAGGGGGCTGAAGAAATGGGTGGAGCCACTTGGACCCCATTTTGTCTCCTTGAGGTGTTCGGAAGGGAGTCCCCGTCACAATGCACCCTATAAATGTTGGCTACAAATGTCCAACTCGGGATCCTTAAAATAACTCAGGCCAGGGCTTCTAGCCCTTGATCAGTGACGTTTAGAGATTTCCCGGTTGTTACATTGCCTTCTATTGAGTTCTTCTGTTGGTTGATCTGCAGCTTCCGGGTGATAATTGCTGTCTGCTTCCATGTTACACATTCAATCACTGATTCACTCGCTCTTTCAGGGGCCAGCCTGATACAGTGAAGGACAGTTTGATTCCTACCCTTGTTAACATTGTTACAATGTATAACTTACTAAAACACATTAAGTTGAAAGTTGAAAGGTGAGGAG